CTTTTTTTTTGTTGCACAAGGGAGGGGTCAGGACCCATGATTCCCTCCTCCCAGATCCGCCAATGTGAATTGCGAGAAAATGTAACTCGGTCGGGTACTGGATAAACATTCTCTTTCCCATCCTTCTCCTTCTTTCCTCCTTCTTTTTTTGCATTTCCGATCATACAAAGTTCTCCAGACATTATATATTTTTCGCCAAAAAGTTGGGGGGCCCGGGCCCCCCGGCCCCCCCGGTTCCGCCGCCCATGAACATGGGCCATAGTACACATGGGACCAACGGCCTAAACATCTTATCCAAAAGTTACCCTCATCGTAACCTGTCTTTCAGCCCTCCACAACTGAAACAAGGAGAGCTGCGATAGGAAATGAACCGGGGACACTTATAGATCTCCACGTCTCAGCGCGCACACAGTGGCTACCACCGGCCTAGCCGAATGAGCTAGGCCTACTGCTCATTTTAATTAATGTCATGAAGATGTTAATAAATTATTAATGTAATGAACATTAATTATATTGTTATCATTGAAGTTTAATTTCATCCCCCCCTTTTTCTTAGGATGTTCGATGCCAGAGAAACCCGAAAATGGCAACTTCTATTTTACTACCAAAAGAGAGAATAAAATTGGCGGTTTTGTCAAATTCACCTGTGATCCCGGCTTCGATTTGAATGGACAAAAACAAATTAAGTGCCTTAAATCAACAAAAAATTGGGCAACCGAGTTTCCTACATGCGAAATTGGAGGTATGAAAAACACGTTGCAGCACTAAATACAGTAAATAATAGAGTTCTCTCGTAAAATGACCGTCTTACAGTTTCAGTATTTCCTTGCCGGTTAAAACACTCATGTTGTTTTCTCTGTCGAAATTTCAGTTAGATGCCCTACCATCCCCACAACACTCTTGAATGGCTTCGTACAGATAGAACCCGGGGAAATGGTCGTAGGCAAACAAGTTACATTTACGTGCCGCCGTGGTTATTACTTGCCAAAATTTTCTCAACGATTGATCGAATGCCAACAAGATGGTACTTGGACCGATGATGTTCCGGAATGTGTAAGTAAGTACAATACAAAAGGAATTTATGACTAGTGATTTCAACTTATTTTTATTATCAGCTATTGGCTAAGAGGTGGATGTTTTTCTCTCTCTTTTAACGAACTAGAATCAGGTTGCCAGCTACCAGAGGTAGATATAGAGAATGGATTTGTCATCGATGCAAGAAACGGCACGTATTTAGCTAATGATCCATTGTACTACGGGTGTGATGATGGCTACAAAATTAGAGGGAGCTGGCAAGTTTGCAAGCCATCTAAAGGGACATCTGGGAAGTGGGATGGAGACGTACCTAGATGTGAATGTAAGTTTTGTTGGCAAAATAATTATATCCATAATTTTTTTTGGAAAATCAACTTATTCATAATTGATTTGATATACGTAAGTCAATCGACGATATATATACGAGATAT